TGAGATCTCTCATATCTCTGTGCACAGTTTTAAGAAAATGTATGTGTTTGGAAAGAGGAATAATTTAGATGGTGGTTTTAGGAGATGCTGTCACAATTTTTTGTTACTGAAGTCAAGAAATATATTTGATGAAACTTTTTTTTTCTCCCTCTCCTCTCATATATTTGCAGCCTTTAATGTTGGTGACCTTTTAGAAGCTTAATGTGCTAAAGACTATTACCAGAAAAATCACATGTAGTTTCTTGAATGATTGAGTTTGTGGTAGAAGCTTAAAAATGGATAATTCTAAAATGTAATGAAGTTTTTCATTGAATTAGAAATTCTTAATATGGAATTTTCTTATCTAGAGTGAAATTTTTAGGGTTTGGAGCTAGGTTTTGTAAAAGTTACTTCCTGAGTGAACAAGGTACCCGTTTACTTGATTGAGCATGTAACAGCCTAGCCCAACCTGCTGTATATTGTTCGCTCTGGGCCTTCCGCCCTCACGGTTTTGTTCCTGGTGATGCGAGCCCATCATTAGACCTGACACCTCAAAACGCGTACAAAAGGTCAGCGACCAGCACTACTAATAAGGCCAGCAACCAACTCCTCACTCGCTGATGTGGGATTTTACAATTCACCCTCTTTAAGGAGCTCGACGACCCCGTCGGCCCCATCAGACAGCCAGTGAGGTCGGCTTTGATACCAAATGTAAAAGCCCGGTCTAACCTGCTGTATGTTGTCCGTTTTGGGCCTTTCGCCCACACGGTTTTGTTCCTAGCAACACGACGCTCCAAAACGCGTACAATAGGAATAAAACCATGAGGGCGGAAGGCCCAAAGCGGACAATATATAGCAGGTTGGGCCGGGCTGTTACAGGGCATATTGTGATTTGAGCTTGTTCCTATTGTCCTATCATTTCGTTTCATCTTTCTCACAAGGCTTTTGCTAGAATGCCAAGTGTAAAATAAAATCCTTAATAATTTTATGTACTCTTGTGATAAAATTTTATCTTACCCATTTCAAAAATAAAACTTGGCTTTGCAAAAAAGGTTAGAATTGTATCAAATCTTTTTCATAGTGCCAAAACAAACAAAATTATGTTATTTTGATTCCTTTCACTTCACTGGATGTGTAGGACACTCAGGACCACCTTCCTTATGTTAATGGATGTGTAGGACACTCAGGACCACCTTTGAAATCTGAAAGCTCCCAATATCCCCAGTTCTCTTCTTAAAGTAACTAGCTGATGCAGACACATCTAGTTTGATTTTCACTAGCACAAGCATGCAGGTTTTTTGGTTTTTTTGAACACCCCTACTTGCACTACAACATACTTGCACTACAACACACTTGGTTTCTTGGCACTGAAATGATACTCTACATTTGTGCTAGCTTGTACACATTAACATCTTTAGAATTGGTTGATTTTTTACGGTAAGAATTAATTTTGAGGTAATGGAATGAAAGATTTTTCACCAAAATGAAGAGGATGCATAACTCCCCTTTTGGTACAAATTCCGGAGTCTACCTTTTCTTTTTGCGTAAAAGCTAGTGCTATTTTTTTCTTTTTTCCCTTTTTTGACAAATGTGGAGTTATTTCTTATTCTCACTATCTTTTCTTTCTTTCTTTTGAAATAATAAGTGGCCACTCTCATTTTTCAAAAACAAACCATTTTCAACAAAAGCCATTTTGAAGGAGACCCTTTTGGACCGGGGTTCTTTCACTGTAATCAATGGAAACTATTTGAAGGTTTTATGCTGCTGAGTTTTTTAAAAATAACCCATCCATTATGGAAGATTTTTTTTTCTCCTTCATTTTGTCACATCAAATCTAGCATTGTTGTAGGACCTGATCTAATGGAGTTCTTTTCTTTTTATGGCTGAGTTCATTTATTTTTTCTTTGTTTTTTCTTAAAGGTGGGAGAGGGGGGTGGCTGGGGGTGTTTGATTTGTTAAATTAACTAGTCTAACAAGTAATCTGAGCACTATTCTCTGAGTTTGTATTTTTGCAAGTCCAAGGCAGTATGTTTTGTATTGTATGCTTTACTTTTTGTACAAATAAAATTCTTACTGTGTGGTTCATTTCTGTAGGAAAACAAAGTCGACAAGTTCGTCTTTGCTCGAAGGTTCCACCTTCAAGCAATAAAAGAAGCTTTTGCGGAGGTAGCCATACTTATTCCCTTGTAATTGGTTCTTTTGTAGTTCGGCGACTTGTTATTAGAAGTTGGGGTTCCTGCAATTCCTCCTTTCAGTGGCTGGGAAGGGGAAGATGATGCATTTAAAATTTTCATGTCATTTTATTCAATATAATATTTTGTTAGGAAGTGGACCTGGCTACAATCTTTCCAATGGGAAGAGCAATTTGATGAAGAAGGCAAAAATGGATTTTCTGAAGAGGTAATATTATTTTGTGCAATTATGTTCATTTGAAACGAATTCATTAGCTTCTCTTCTTTCTGATTTTTACAATAGTTCCCTCACCCACAACCATTGATCTGCATTTTACATGCCCTACAAAATTGTGGTTTGCGCATTAAGGTTTAACGAGACTGCTACAGAAACACCAATTCTAGATCAAAAGAATAACATATTTGAACAGAGTGCTTCATACTTGTGAAAACAAAAGAGACAGCAAATATCTTTGGATCAGGTTAAGTTTAAAATGTCTTGTTGCATCCATTTATTGCTGGATCTTGATATTTAATTTTGAAGTCTTCTGCACGAAATATTGAATTTCTTGCCTAGGCCTTGGATAACTGTGCTCAAGCTTTTGCTATTTTGAGATGAGTTTGTCAGGAAATGATTTCATTTGTCTTCATCCTTGATGACTTTTGAGCAGTCGCGAGGTGCAAAATATTGCCGCCATGAGGAAAAATGCTCTGCAAAGGAATAGCAGGTAATGTTAACTGTGGTGCACATTTCAATATGGCAACCTTGTACTCCCAGCACTCACAGCTACTGCTGCCATGTACAGTTCGTCTTCCATGATGAAGCCACCGGGTAGCTTTCCTGGGAAAAGTTCTGCATCTTCGAATCCAGTGAAGTCCCTGGAGAGGAGATTCTAGAAGCACGATGCAATCCAACTCTATTCTAGCAGCATATTGAATGTATGATTTCCTTGCAATAAGGGCCTTTACTCTTTTTTATTTTGTGGGTAGAAGCAACAAATTGAGATTGAAATGATGTATGTGTCAATAATAAGTAGATGATATCTTTCTTTTTTTCCCATTATTATTATCGCCATTGCTCTAATCTTCTCCATGCCATTTCTCCTTGTAAAGGACCTTTACAATATGCCATTTCCTTGCAATAAGGACCTTTATTACATATCTTTTTAGGAAGATGACAAGATTCAAGTTCCCTTTACTTCCTTTTGTTTTCTTAAAAATAAGAAATAAAAAATCTGAGGTGTGAGAAGACACGAGGGCAAATGCATGGTTTTCAGTCAAAATCTCTGCCCCCTCCGTCAGTAATTGTTTAGCATCATTTTCTTCTCTTCAGTTTCAGACTATCTAAACAAAGAGGAGGGAAATTACAATCTATTTGTTTTTCTTTGTTTGTTTTTTCATTTTGTTTTGGGACTATAATACGAAGCTTTATAACACTCTCCAATCCTAGGATCGTCCCGTCTAACAAGGATTTCCAGACTGGTTCTTGTTCTTGTGTCCTATAATGACTCAATCTCTTGGCACGCGTTAACAATGAGAATATTCTATTATAAGAATATTCTATTTGAAGCTCGATTTTGTTACTCCCAAAATTAGCCTTGATATTGGGCCAGACCTGTCCATGGATATAAAATCAACAGGTGCTTTATTAAATATAAGCGATAATAAATTAAAATGAATATAAGTTATTTGTTATTGATGAAAGTTTATTTGAGTTAGTATCAGGCTGAATTACAAGTTTTCCAACTTGATATTTTTTATTTTCAGTAAAATAAATCATATTAGGGTTATGTTGATTCATAAAAATAAAAGACTTATCGACCTAGTTTTCAAAACTAAGTTTAAACCAAAATATTGTCAACTTGATGTAAACACGAGGAAAACCATGAATATATTTTTCAACTCATTTTAAGATTTAAAAACATATTTAAGCTTGTCTTTAAAATTAGAAGACACATTCACCTAATTATTAGCATCTAATTTTAGTCACGATATGATAAAAACATGTTGACATTATTTTTTATCCAATTCAAAAATAAATATTTGTAAATAGCAACAAGTTAACAACAACGTCAACACACATATAATTTTATACAAAAACCAAACCATAAAGCCTTGGACAAATCTATTATAATCTATACTGTCAACTCATCATAAGGTATTAATTTCAGTCTTAATCCACTTTAAAAACATCTCCATATAGGTATAATAACCCCAGGATTGCCATACATTGGCATGGACCCACCCCAACATTTTTAATTTCATAATCATTCATAATAAGACATCAATCGCATCAATAATAAAGCATTAAAATTTATTCAATCCTAAAAATATAATCATAACATACATCAATAATAAAAACAAAAAAAAATCATTAAAAAAATTAGGGTTTGAAATCAACCTTCTAAAATAGCTAGAGTGGATCAGAAAGAACTAGAATAGTGAAGGAAGTGAAAGTGTGTGCAAGCTACGCACGAGTAGACTACTAATGTTATTAATATATTATTTCTCACATTAATAAGTTTAGAAGGTACATGAGTCACTCTACTAAGTGTATGACTTCTTGGTCTTCCTTCCTATATGGGTGGTTTCATCCACCACTACTTATAAAGAGAAATTAGGCCATCCAAAGCTTCATGTTTTTTTCCTTGGTTTTTCTCTTTATTTATTTTTCTTCCTCTCTCTCTTCATTATTAGCTATTGTTGTTACTATTGTATGTTACTTTTAGTGGTATAATTATATAAGGGTTGATTGATATGGAGAGAGTTTATAGTGTGGCAGTTCATAATGGTTGTGGCATGATGGAGAAATGTGTGGAAAGATGGTGAAAAACAAATGGAGAAGTTGTTACATTGGGCTTCAATCAAATCTCATTGTGGCTGTGAAGAGGAGTTGGTCTGCTAGCTATGAGTGGTGGAACTTGGTGTGAGAGAACAACAATTGAAAGGAGTGAGGATAGATGGAGCTAGTTATGCAAGTTTTTTCTATGATTTTATCCTTTTTTCTTTTCTTTTTTTCACAGATTTTTCTTTCTAAACAAAATTTTCTCTTTCAATTCTCTCTATTTTTCTTTAAATTCCTCTCTTTATAATTTTTCATCTTAAAATATTTTTTGCACATCTTAATAATGGCTAGGGTTTGTGTTTTTGCACCCCTCCCCCATTTTTTCCCTACCATTCACACTCTTTTATACTACCATAGTTAAGAATATTCTTATTCTCTATTCATTATTCTTTTTTATCCCTTCATTTTATTTTTTTGTCCATTTTTTACTAGATTATCATTCCACTCATTTTTTTCTATTTTTTCTTTGATTCTCTTTTCTTTGCATGGATTTTTTTTCTATTTTTTCATTTTTTTAATTTTAAAAATTCATTAATATGAAAATTATAAGTGGAAAAGTCAAAAACTAAAAAATTACTTGAAATTGGCTGAATTGAGTTTAGAATACATTTTTTTGGAAATTATTATATTCTCTTACATTTAAAAAACAATGTTTTAAAAAACAAATGATGATAGCTTACCCCTTTTTACAACACTTACAATACAAAAGTCTTCAAAAAGTATTTTTTTTTAAACTTTGTTTAATAAGCTTGTAAAAAAAAATAACAAACATTGAAAAATTTAAAAAGTAGTTAAATTGGGAGGTGACTAGCTTTAAGAATTATAATTTAAAACAATCACCTAGAACTCAAATTCTCAAAAGCGATGCTTTGGATTTAAGTTTGCAAAAGACATCTAAGACATAAAAAGGAAGATTTGTGAGAGCTTTTTGAGGCTTGAAATTGCAAAAAGATTTTCAAGAGTTCCCAAAGACTCATAAGCAAAACAAAATTATAAAAACCCTTTTAGGCTTAAAATCAAGAAAGAAATCATTTTGGACTTATTTTTGTTTTCTTTTTAATTTTAGAAAATTATCATTTTCTAAAGTGATGAACTCAAAGTTATTTTCAACATGTCATTTTATAAAGTAACAAACTTGAAATGCTTTTCAAAATAATCATTTTATATAATGACAACTCAAAGTGCTTTTCAACCTGTGAGTTTTCTAAGTGAAAAATTTAAATGCTTTTCAAAATAGTTATTTTATAAAATGACAAACTCGAAGTGATTTTCAACTTATCATTTTATAGAGTAATGAATTTGATAGAGTGATGAAATCGAAGTGATTTTTTAAATAATTATTTTATAGAATGACAAACTTGAAATACTTTCAATCTGTTATTTTATAGAATGATAAACTTAACGTGATTTTACGAGAATCTTTTGAGACGCAATGTAGAAGTTTCATATTGGCAGGGTTCAGCTCAACTTTGTAAGAATCCTTTAAAAATAAAACATAAAGAAATATTTATGCTAAATAATAAGAACCCTTTGAATTTTATAAGGATAATACTTGTATAAATGGAAGTTATTAAAATTCTCTAAAACACAAGCATAAAAAAAATATAAGAGTCTTTTAAGACTACAAAATAATAAGAGATTTATAAGAGTCCTCTTAGACTCATTCACATAAGAAATTGTTGGTCTTTTGATACTAAAAATATTTACAAGAACCCTTTACAAATAAATCATAGATAAGAAGAAAATTAAAAGAATCTTACTAGACTTAAAATAAATAAATAAAAAACCTTGTTGGGTTTAAATTCATCAAAATCTTGCTAAATTCAAATATATAAAAGCCTTAAAGGGCTTAAAAAAAAACAATTACAAAGGCCTTGTTAGGTTCAAAATAAAAGAGAATTTTATTGGGTTTAAATTTATTAAAATCTTACTAGATTTGAATTTTCTAGAGCTTTACTGAGCTAAAAAAATAATAATTATATAAATAAAATATCGACTTGAATGCGTTTTGGGTATAAATTTGTTTGGGTAAAACATCTACCTAGATGTTTATGATGTTATGATTACGGTAACAATCTCATCTTTAAATACAATTTCTATATAATTTTTGTTTTAATAATATTAAAAACAAGGTGATTGTTTTTTGTATTGTGACATTACGTTGTTAATTTAATGGTAAACCAAATTAATTCAATCTAATAATTTGATTGACCAATTTCTCCAATAATTTTTAAATTTCTCTTACCGTTTAATAAATCGTTCAATCAGTTTAATCGACTAATTAAGATAGTAATAATTTTAAATGATCATGTCATCAAGTAACTAACCGGAAGAATTACTAATCGATCACATATCCTTTTAATTCACATTACCATAATCAATAATATAATATAATGAAAATGAATTATTTGAATTATATTTAACTATCATCCATCATCATGTAATTATAAGAAACATAATTATTAAAGGAGATGCATTTAATAACTATAATATTCCTAAAACTTCCAACTTAATCAAATAAAGGTAAGATTATGCTAAATTTTAATAACTTCCATTTATACAAGTATTTTTCCTATAAAATCAAAATATAGTAATTATATTATAAAAAGTTCTCTAAATAATTTTGATTTTGATCAAAAGTTCAAAACATGCCATTCCATTCTAAAGTGCACTTTTGAGATATTTTTATTGACCTGTGATGTGAAAAAAAAATGATTATCCTAAAATTTCATCTATTAATAGCATAAATAAATTCTCTAATTTGACATTATGGCTAAAAAAGGGTTTTTTTTGGCACTTTTCAAATTGTTTCAATTCAAAAGATTTTACCTTCATAATTTTGTATACTTTCATTTTGGTCTTTTATTTTTTTATAATTTTTGTTTTGATCTAAATTTTTATTTTATCTATTTTACAATCTTTATATTTGACATAGGAGAGCGAGATTTATTGAGAAAATAACAAAAGAGAAAAGAAGTTGTTGGTTAATCAATTTTTAGAGATGAAATATATCATTTTTGGTATTAAGAGGTTTATTTGATGAAAGAATTTTATTTTATTTAATTTTTCCTTTTTATTTTGAAAGAAAAAATAGATTGAAATTGACAAATAACTTTTGTTTTGACTTTGTATTTTAGGATTAATTTATGGATGTTTTGAATTGATTTTTTTTATAAATTATTTATTAGGTTTTTTTTTATGAGTTCAAGAAAACCCAAATTAATTTTCTAATCATTGCT